ACTACAAGTCTAAGTCCTGACTTAAGCAGCCCAAGGGACACCTTATTTTGTTATCTGATACATTAAACTCCACTGATGACACGCTACTTATTAGAATGTTGTTATAACTCTACCAACTTTCTAAGCCTTTATAATAACTTAACTGTTGTCCCTGATTATTAAACAGGATGTACAAAAGTTTCCACCATATTTTGGACCCAGAAGTGTGGTAATATCTGCACTAGTATTCTATCCAGATGTATGATCAGTCTAGTTAGATAGAATTTCCAATTACCCACATTAATAAATTCTCTCTCACAGTGTTTTTTTTCTAAACTGGTAAACAGTTTTATCTGCTTAGGTCTCATGTTTCAGACTTAGTGTCTACATAACAAAGCCAACATGTACACTGGGGACACTGATTCAGCCAAATACTCAATGCCATTAGATTTCAGAATGTCTCTCAGTCTCCCATCTGGAATCAGTCCCTTTGTTCAATACAATAACTGATTCTATACGTTGCAGAAAAAAACTTTGCCATGAATGTCAAAAGAGGTACGTGGGCGGATTGGCATTACACAACTAGTCTTGAGTTTCACCTGATCAAATCATGTCATACAAACATGCAGCCACATGATTGGGCTTGGGTGTACAATTTAAAGTGCGCTGAACTTCCATGTCAGACAGTTTGCCATGGCAATGAGACACCCATGTCCAGTCTCGTAATCTTAAATCATTATCAGGCAGTGGCAGCAAACGTTTAACCCAAAATGTTCAATCAATGTGGAAGAAATGTCAAAGTCAGCACAGGTGTAAAGGAGGGAATCATAATCAGGGAACCGAAGTAAAGTTGGTAAAAAAAGGACCCTAGGCTATCATTTCCAGCTTTGGCGTGTGTGACTCGTATGAAATTCATCCAGTATACATTACAATTTAAAAACTACCCGTTGAGCATTCTGGCTCTTACTGGACAGTTGAAAAAAGTTCTGAAAGTTCTAAAGGCCACAGGCATTCTTCTTCTACTCATCCTTCCCCCTCTAACATGATTAACAAGATGTAGTTCCATCAAAAGTAAGTCTGATGCCTGAAGTCCTTTTCAACATCTAGTTCTCCCTTTGGCTAGCTACAGAGTACATTGACATACTAAGTGCAGTTTCTAGAAGCAACAGAATGTAGTTGAGTGAAGTTGAGTAGTAGCTCTTAAATTTCTAAGAAAACATCTATGACTTCTGTTACTATCAGTAGTAATGTGCAATATGCACCAGCAGCCATGACCACACTAGGTTTTCTTCTGAATCAGTGATAATATCTTAAACTGCTTTACTAATAGAGAACAGGAAGGCTTATACATGATTGTACAAGTCACGTACCTCTCTGGTGGGGCTGCATAAACCGTTGCAGGAAGGGGTAGAAGTTGAAGAGGATCAACTGCAAAAAAGGAAAAACAAATATACAACTTATTTCATAGTATTTTAACAGTAGCTAAAATCTCTTTGATAGGTGCAAGTGAATACTACATGATGAGAAAAAAGATTGTGATAACAAATTTTACTACATTCATCTCGTAAAATACAACTTATCAGCTGTATTATGGCCTGCTCAATTATGCCAGTGAGTAAATGGGGGAGAATGGGTAAAGCAGTAATGATCAGCCAGACATGAAGGCGAGAACTACCCTGACAGCTTTTCCCAGAAGACAGCATAGTCTAGTGAAACACTTTATCTAACCACAAGGGCAGTATGTCATTGGGCAAATCATAACTGAAACTATGTTCCTTTTATCTTTCCACTTTACAGAAATGTACTTTGATAACTGTGTTCTGCAAGTCTACATCCAATTTGTATCTATTGCTATTATTTTTACCTTGGTGTCTTTGATGATATTTTGGCTCGACTAAAGCCTGCTGGTAAATTTAAGAGGAGGCATAGTGGAATGAGTGCATTCTTGAGAGGACTGTCTCATGGTGCCATTATCAATCACAACTAAATTAGATTTTGATCCTGGAGATTTCACACTGGGTACAAATGGAGAGGTCTGGTATAGAGGTCTATATGCATCAGGGTCAGATGAGTTTAAGGCCTGCCATCTCTTTGTCTGACGTCAAATCACTGCATGGTGCACTGCTCGTTTTCAGGAGTGTAAGTGTCCTGTCTCTTTTGATAAATGTATTAGTTCTTCCTTTTAGTCTTCTTTGAAAACTGTCAACATCATATGGATAACAGCCAAATTCTTCTGAGTTGGGGTGAGTAATTAAAAGTGCTTCAATGGTAATGAACTTAAATAGTACATTACCTGGTTGGTACTGGAATGTAAGGTAAAGGAAAACAACAGTCTGAGGCTAAAAACTCAGATCTTAGACCAGTGATTTTCTCGTGTGACAGGTAATGTTTGAATAGAAAATTTTCTATTACATTGTATATTGTACTTGCTGCCTGGGATTCCTAGCGCTTTCAAAGATGGCTGTCAACAATGTCACACCGAAGCAAACAATAGACCTTGGTTTGCAGAATAGCATCTACGTCAATCCAGACTACAGACTACTGTGATGACTGCAGGTGCCCCTTTGCTTCTAATTTGTGACTGAAGAGCCAGATGTGCTCTAACCCCTGAGAAGATATCACCGACCTCCAATGGACTACAAGGATTAGTAGGATAAGGGTGTCATATTCAATCATTTTTGCAATATTACACAGGATTATGTGAGAGGAAGCGCCCCGGGCTTCTGAGACATACGAGACAACAACAATGTCAGGGACAAGATTCCTGTCGCCAGCGATCGGCAAATGAAATGGAAAAACTGCAGAAAGTCTGGAAATGTTATTATAAGAATCCCTTTGAAGTTGAAAACTTTCAGCTATAAAACTTCACAGTTAGAGACATGCCACACTTAAAAAGGAAAAGAAAACATGGTTTTGTCTTAGAAAAGAAGTGCATGGCTAATCAGATTAACTATCACTATACATGTGACCATTGCATGCACCAGCAGCAGGCATCACTCATGACAAAATTCCAAACCATGTTGCAGTATGCTATTTTTAAACAGTGAATACAGATGCTTGCTGCTGGTGCATTTAAAATTGTACATGTACCAAAGCATTGGTTCTTCAATGGCTTGAACCTTGAATGTGGAAATCAGGTACTATGTCAATGGCTATCTAGACCTTCACCTTATAAGTGACCTTCAGATAGAATCACAACCACAATCTACTGAAGAACCATTTTCTCATCTTCAAGCAGATGTCTGATGGAAAGAGTGTTAAAGTTAGAACTGGCCATCAAGAGAGAGTCCTAAGTCAACCAGACAAATGGATACTGCCTGGACAATTTGATACTGCCTTTGCAGCCACCAAAAGATCTGCTTAGAGATTACCATTTCGGTCAATAGCAGAGACGTTTTCAGATGGCAAAGAAAATGACAAAATGTATCTTCTTTTCAAAGAGGGGGTTACAATGTTGGTGCTAGTGTATGGTCCTGCAGTCTATCAACATTGTTTACTAAGTCCAGATGAAAGACTTCCTGTTCCCATACATCAAACCTGTCAGACCAAAATGACTTGACATAAGCCATGTATTGTCATGACCTTCACGTAATCTGGAAAGCATTCTACATTAGACATCAACCAGATGATCGTGCACCAAATAAATGGTCCTGAGTTGTGTCAAATCTCAATCAAGCATGCCAATCAAGGCCCTGCAAATTCATTTTACTGGTTCTCGGACATTTTGAAGTAAGAATCAATACCAAGAGTCAAATTGAATGAATATAATATGAAAACTGATGGCTGAGAGGAGAACCTGAATCTTACTACATGTACATGTACATGTACTAGTAACTTCACTTCCTGCAAATATGATTATGTTAGCTGAAGTAATTGGCTTTGAGCAAGAAATATTGGAATGAATGCATGTGTCGGTATTTCGCTGTGCCAAGTCTATCTATGCCAGGTGAACTTTATATACCCTCATATAGCCACATTATTCATTGATCAAAGAGTTCAAGAACAAGATAGATACAAAGGCAGGAGACAAAATTGGCAATGGCAATATCTAAAGATGTTAGTAAAGATGAAAGACTTTCTGTCAAAGGTGGCATGCCAATAACACTTCTTTGAGAACTCCCACTATATATCAATAAACAGAACAAAGTATTAGGGAGGGATTGATTCACTTCTGAGATTTTGCAGATTATGTGCTCAAAGCACATCCGGTAGCTAAGAATGTGTGACCTTTTGTTCCATCAATAATAGATGATGGGACAACAAATAAAGCCTGTTATTGCTCTGATCAATGCATTATTCTCAGTTACAGCCTTCCTTTTCAGTCTAATTTTAGAATTTCGACATAACAATACATAGTTTCGTAACAACACTTCAAACTGGACAATAATTCTTTGTATGGATATTGTATCATAAATATCATAATGTATACTTTGTATAATCATTGGAACTTGCTTTATGCAATGAGAGCTGAACTTGATTTTTTACATAAACTTTATGGTAGAAGCCATTTAGAACCTAGTATATATTATGAAATAAGTACATAATTGAAAACAACACACCACAAAATAAGCCAAGTTATGAAATGAACCTTTTAGATGTCATTAGCAATATTGAATACACCAAAAATACCTATAAGAAGCTGAGCTTTTAGATGTCATTGATAAGGTAGTATCTACTAAGGTAGCATCGACTACAAAGTAACATAATTGTACATTGTGTCTGAAGAGTTCTCTAATGCAATGTCTTCCAGTAAAATGCACTCCTGCACATCTAAACTGTGCATAACTACATTTGTAGGGGAGTGGTGCACCAGAGATCTCTCAAATACAATCATATTATTTCAAAGTAAATGTTAATGGAGGTTAGATCTTAAGCTAATAAAAGCTAATTTTCTACAGCTGCTGACTCCTGTCTGTCATCAGAAAGTTCCTTGTTCTTGCGAAAGTTGAAATATCCAGGGCATACAGCCATTTTAGTACCAATTCATCATGCGCTCCCCTGGGTACAATTAGCATACGTTCTGCCTGAGCAACATTCATCTTAAGTCAACTCTGGAAAACATTTTCTAACATTAGAACTGGTGTAGCTCTAGAGAGCTGTAATTCTGTATTAAATATTTCTTCAGCTGAAACTCAAGGTGCGCTAATCAAATTATCTGGTGTTTGTTGGCGATTTTTTCTCATCAATCAAGTTGCTTTGTTCATCTTTTTGAGCACCAGGATAACAAATTTTCCAGAGTGGGCAATTCATCATGCTGAACAACAGTTTAAAACCACATGCCAACCTATCCTAAGTCTCAGAGAGGCATTGGGAGGTAATCAGTGATGACGCATATGGTGTTATTTGAGAGAAATTTACTTTGGGCTTTTCTCAGAATGGATGGATGATGCTATTATATAATGGCTGCCTAGATCATGATCAGAATATGAAGTCACAGTAATTCTGCCCATCACCTGGTGGAGTCCAATCAAACGAGAGATGAGGTCCATGGTCATGAGTCGGACTTCAAACCTCTCTGTCGATGATTCCAGCTGCTTGAAGAGCTTCTCCGCAAAGTCTGTAGTGGGCAAGATATACAGCACAAGCATGTAACAACAATAAATTCTATACATTGTATATATACTCCGGTATATATTATATAATTGGAAGATAAGATTCAGGCCATGCAAAAGACCCTTCCTCTCACACACTTTTCAATGTATAATTTATATAACCTCTAATCTCACTTGGAATTAGCCTCAGTGTGCTTTTATGACTGTTCTATTTGTTTGAGCAAATAATTTGAGGGAATAAAGTGATTTTACCTTGTGGATCATGTAGCAGATGGAGTGCAGAGAAGTTGAAGGGTTCAGCTTTCTTCTTCTTCTTGTGTTTCTGTAGAAAATATGGAACACGAGTCAGGGAACATGCCACACTTTTCAGAAGGAAAGAAATAATACACGTATCATGGAAAGTCTGCATTGGGTATACTTTACAGTTTCTGGGAGTAAACATACAGTCATTCAAGTTTTTTTCTACTCAACCTATGTTCATGTTGCTCTCTTGTTGAATCTTTTACTTACAATGTCACGACAAGCAAGGGAATAAAGTTGAGCTGCATGGTGGTCCTTTCAACACACTGACACATGGACAAGCTGAGTTCAATGACAAGGCATTGACCTCTCAAGTACCACCTTTCTCAAGACTGTGATTGACCCAATGGAGAGATTTATGTCGCTAATATCCGGAACAGAAACAGCATACTATATCACTAATCTCCTTCTGACAGTTCATTTGACCCCTGCTTGTATGTCACCGGTAGCTGTTGGATTTAAGTGAAGTTGAAAAATGTGCCAGTGCCAATTTCTTGCGTGGCATATCTATCAGGGGATGAAACTAGCATGCAAACAAATGTAAAACAGCATACACTAACAGATCATGTGGATAGCAGTCCAGCTAAGTAAAGGAAGAATGTATCTTTCATGTACGTCATGACGTTTGATGAATGGCATTCCTAAGACTTTAACTTCTTATGCAAAATCAAGTTTGTGACTCATTTTTAATCTTCTTACAAAATTTGACATGGTAGATGTAACAAATTGAATGTACTTTACCTTGGTTTTGCAATTTGCATGTATAATGCCTGTTACATATTGGGTTCACAAATGCATCAACTTGAAGACAAAGTATTTAATGTCTTCACTAGCCTGTGAATTTTTTTAAGCGTTCAAGTTTTCAAAGGTGAATACTTGCATTGAACAATGGCAGACATCTGGCTTTCTTCAACCTTAACAATGACCACACTGACAAGATAATGGGTTGTCTGCCTACACAAAGATACATGTAGTCTAGTCTGTCTCCTTGATGCCAAACATAGTAATTCATGCAGCAGAACAAATGTACCCCTGGACCAGGTGTGTGTCTGGTCATCATCAAGACAATTTGCTTAATATTTAGTCAACTAAATAGCTATGCTATCTGATAGTCATCTGTTTTTGGACTGTAATATTGATGGTCTGCTATAGCACTGCAGCTTTGGTCCAGAATGCCAGGGAGGTGTGTGTTGGCTTGTGTTGGGATCAAAACATTGGATTCTAATGGATTTTATCAAATCCAGACCTTGTCAATGTCAGGAATTTTCACAATCCAGTTACTCCATATACAACTCCACTGTATATGGGTGTTGTAAAGGTACAACATGACACTGTGTACCAAGCACAACATGACGGAATTCATCTTTGTACATGTAGGAATCCATCTATCTCCTTGGACAGCGGTAGCACTTTGGTTGGTCAGAGCCAGGCTTGTAAAGTGCAGTGTCTATAGGGTCACTAAGTCTTTTAATCCTTCACATGTCCATATGTTCCTTCTAATGGTAGTGATGAAGTGAATGCTACAGTTTCAAATGTCAAGTCCTGAGACCTTTCCACTCTTAGTACTGTTACTTTTAAGTACAAGAATATGTTACCATAGCTTCTGATCAGCAGTACTGGACAAAATGTGTGGTGGACTGCACTGAATCTATTGTGATACATTATCATTGGGTCAGAGCAAATCTTTCTCTTGAAAGTTTCTTCAAAGGGAGAAAGCCTTGAAATTCCTACTGACAGTGAAAACTCCTCCTAACCAACCCTTCCTTCAATGTCTCAGTCGGTTCTTCCTACTTGCTTGTTATCACAACGTCCTGTTAGCTTTGTACCTTTACTCAAGCATTTCTCCCTTTGAAGAAATTTAAGATTTGCTCTGACCACATGTTACTAAAAGAGAGACACCTATACATACCATGTTGTACCCAAATTTACAACATCAAAATCCAGTGGAGTTGTATTTGGAGTAACTGGACTGTGAAAAATTCCTAATATTGTTCTGCAGCTGTATAATGATGATGATGACATGAACATTAAACAGACCTTGTCTCACGTATCCTCTTGATCAGAGGCTGATTGAAATGTGTTCCACAGAGGGATGTCATGAGGGCAGTGTTTAGGGCAACATGGACCAATCAGTAGGGTTAATAGAGGGTGGAAAACGTAGGTCAGGGATTAACAGAGCCACACAAGGACTCGAGTGATTGATGAAGATGAACCGTTGGGCTTGCGTGGTACAAAAGCTATGAGTAAGATGTAACAGGCAAGTGGGAAGAACCAACTGAGATGTTGGGGGAAGGATTGATTAGCATGAGTTTTACCTTAAGGAATTCAAGGCTTTTTCCCTTTGAAGAAACTTTAAAAAATTTGCTCTGATTGGCTTCTGTTTTATTTTGGAGGATAAGTTGCACGTGTATGATAATTCATATCACTATCATAGAGATGCATATTACCGGTAATACTAATAGGTGTAATTTCATCGATCCTCCTTCAAAAAGTGGAAATGATCAGGACTTTCTGTAACTGCTTCATACATCTGAATGCAGCAGTCACCTGACTGATTTGCAGATCCAGACAAAAAATTCCGGCACTTCAATGGGTGTACTGTGATCACTGCTCGTAATTGAAAATATACTCTGAATGCTTGCCAATTGGATAATGTAGTCAACTGATTAAAGCATAACAAGACACGGTATTACCCACCACAGGCTGTGAGGATATTCCTTAAGTTTCTATTCTATCAACATTCTACAGTTTCACACTCAAGTTGCTCTACAAAACCTTGTAAGCACCTGTAACCTTTCGAAGAATACATTTGTATACCAGGTGCAATGAATGATACTGGAGAGTCGTGCAAAATAATTGCAGGAATACTAAGTAGGCTTCTGTTAAGAGTAGGCGTGCTGACAGTGTCTGTGTAGGAGTAGAAAATTACTGTGATTGATATTAATTGGAACTTGAGAAAGGACATTAAAAAGTGTGGGCATGCATTTAACATGCACAGCAAAAGGTTACTGCAGACATAAAGATGTTTGTAGCACAGTGGTAGCTCTTCCAAATGTGACCCAGGTTCATGTCTCACTTTAAGGCATGAAAGTATGTGCCTTTCAGAACTGAGCCCGAGAGACTGGCTTAAATGTCAGCTTTTTGCCTGATGCTACCTTTCCACCAGTGCCAATACAAGTTCAATGAAACAAAATCCCCCTGGATATCGGGGAAGAATATGAACTGTAAGATATGAGCTGATGGATTAACCAGTAGGTGGAAAAAACACACATCTTCACAGCTCAGGCTACACCAATTTGATTTGTTGGTTCTTTGACATTTTTAGTGGAATTGTTACATTCACTCTGTCTCTCCTTGAAACTGTTTGGTACAGACATTTGCATCAATGTTCTTTTCATGTTGACATTGATTCCAAAAAATCAGATTGGTGGTGGCCAGAGTGTAATGTCTGTACATTCTGTCAAACTGGGGAATGTTTCTATCCATCTACTTGGTGGCTTCAAACTTTAAGGCATTAATAACAATAAACACTAAAGTATGAAAAGTTCTTAAGGTGTTCAAAGTTTTGTTTTGTCCCATCCCTGCCCAGCTGTGCTCTTACCTTCAAGGCTTTCAAAGCCTTATCTAGTTTCTTCTGTCTCTTCCTGGTCTTGTGGGCGACTGTGTGTCTCAGCATCAAGTCCTTTACCGTTGGCCCCTCCTCCTGTTGTAAAAGATTATTGTTCTTGGTCAGAGATTTGAAACTTTAAGCTGACCTGATCGTTCCCGGTAAGTCAAAATTGTACCAGGTCCTGATCCCCTCAGCTGACCTTTAACAGTAAGTCATAAAATTCTCCTAATGGAAGATCTGATGATATCCTTTAAGAATGGAGATTATTTTGCCTGGGAACAAAACAATGGGAGCTAGGGTCCAGGCTTATTAGGGCTTTATGTACTGAATAGTAAAGTTCTTATAAACTTTAAAGAATTAGTCTTCCGGTATACTATAAATTCCTTCCAAATTCCCTTCTTGCTTCAACAAAATATCCAGTACATGTAAGTTCGAGGCTTTCCAAGAAATATGCAGGCATCAAAGTTTTTACATGATGTGGCACCAAAAATCCAGTGCAATCTTGGTATTTCCAACTCAGAGTACACCCGGAGGATGCCATCTTTGAAGACTTATCCAAGCTCCTTGCTGCAAATGTTTCACAAGCTTAATGCAAGGTTGAGTAAAGGTTAAAAAAGTATAGGACGAGAGATTCCTCCTTGGCTAGCTGGTGTGTTATGCCAAAGGGCGGTTATTCCAACTGTACTGATACAGATACAGACATTGACACTACCCATGGACAATGGCACCATACAAAAGATGATATATTGTACAATCATGCCACGTGGGCCTGGAAATACACGATACTGTGCCATAGTACTTCACAAAAGCTGACATAGAATCTTGGAGTGTTTATGCGGCTGAAACATGGATAAGCTGTCAGTGCACCTTTGTGTAAATATCAAAAAGGTCTGAGACCGTCAAATACTTTGAACCTTTCTCAACTCAATCTGGACATAAATCATGAAAAATGAAGTTCTCATTGGATTTGATATAAAGGATAAATCCAACCATTAAGAGTTATGATAAAATTAATATTTTTTGTCAACATAATGCCACCCTAGGCCAGTAAACATTCCAAAAGACAGCATGGCAGAATGTTTCTATTTTGCACAGATTGAGATCTTGCTACATGTCTGACTGTGTACATATCATACCAAATTGAAGGTTATCTAAGATGCCGAATGTAGGACCTGCTACCCTTTCCCTGGTACAAATCAGCTCTTGCTAATCACTGTCAACTCTTGCAGTGCAGGCTTTAACTTAACAGAGAGTAAGAGTACTTTGTTCTTCAATCACTTGAGCTTTCGAAAACTTCATTGAGGAAAGGATCTCAGGGTTGAAACATCCTTCAGTGACCTACACATGTACATGTATTTAGGCCTCTCAAATGCCCAACAGTTCCATAGCAGATTGCTTCAGAAACATAGCACTTACGGTACATCAAATGGATAAAAGTTTTTATGACAGTCTGTCAACTACTTTTTATGTCAACATGTTGATAGTTTTTTTTTTTTACTGCATTAAGAGGGAGACTGCAAAAAGTCTTTCAGACACTGCTATATATGACAAATGGTGGATCTGAGAAGAGCTATCGCATAGTTACTGTTTTTACAGCAGCTGCTGCAGTCTTCTTGCAGCCATTATTAGAAGTTTTATATTGACAGTAAAATGCCTTATATGAAAGTATGATAGACAGATTTACAGTCAATATTCCATTCCAAAGCCTTGTACACACCCTACATACAAGTATCAACTAAGCACAAAACGCTGCATAGAGTCAACTGGATTTTCCCACGGTACCTGATAACTCAAAAGTTTTTGCACTACATTCACATCAACCTGACTTCTAAACTGGCAATGCTTCTAATTATCTAGATATCTGAACTTTAATTACCAGCACTTACATGTAAGTAGTGATTGGCTATTGATTAGAATAGTAGATACTCAATGTTAGGAATTGGAGGAAAACTCTAAAAACTTTGTTCTTGACTAAAAATCTCATCCAATGAACAGTCAAAAGTGAGTTCAAATGTATATATTCAGCATGGAAGTGGACAATGAAATCCTGGATGATGACTTTCTTTATCATGTCAGAACACACTACACAGCAATTGGGCAATATGAAAATCCCAAAGCCTGCTTACTGATGTTGGTGTATCAGCCACAAAGGAAATCATGTAGCTGTGAGCTACTGATAATGGGTCAACAGAGAATTTTTACCAAACAACTATCATACCATAGATCTCGAAGGAGTCAATGAAGGACATTTACCTTTACCTTTAAAGACATACTCAAGGAAAAAACTAGTGGAGAAAAGACGCAGCAAAGCAGATATGGGCTCTACTTGGACATGGCTAAAATGTCATTGCTGTACTTTGGGAAGCCATCATTTATCACTGTAATTCACATGGCAGCATTGGCTCTGCTGTATGTCCCTTGTGTGATTTCAAAACTTTTTATGGACCCAATATGAGTAGCTCATCAGAGCTAAAAAACACCAATTTGTGCAAACAACAAAAAGTCTTATACAGAAAGTTTGACAGTGTTGTAATTGGTTGAAACACTTTCAGTAGTAACAACTTGGTTGCTGTAATTTCTCTTTTCAACATGACAATGAGAGGATTTCTATGAAGTTGTAATTCCATTGGTAACTGAGACAGTGGTCATTTCAGACATGATGCATATGAAAAGAGACATTCACAAAAAGTATGTACCTCAGACTCTGAATCACTGCCATCCTCCTCATCTTCATCTTTCCCAAGGAAGAATTTCAGCGCAGCAACCATAATCTGAAATTAAGGAATCAATTATTGGACAATTTGAAATGAACAACTATTTTTTCACTCAATTGCTTGATAATGAGAGAAAAATATTCAGAATTCTATTTTTTGGCAATCTGAAATTGAAAGTGAAACATCACAAAGTGCAAGTGAGCTCAACAGTTACTGTGGTTGAAAAGACCTACCTTAGTAACTTTGGAGAAGCAAGCTGTGGCAATGACATTAACTGTCTTCGCATCATTCCTATGGAAAGAAAATAACATCAATTTTTCCTGAGCTACCTCTTACAAATTGAATTCAATTAAAATTTTACATGCAAAGAGCAAGCATTCCCTAATTGTAATCTTTTTGTTAGACAAGTAGTCATGCACAAGTTACTTTTGATACAAACTTTGAACTTAGAAAACAATCAGCAACATTCAATAAAAATGACAAGCAACAACTTGTGACAAATCACATAATAAGAAACATGCAACCTTAAGGTCTAATATATAAAAAAACTTAATAATCTCTTACCACACATTTCGGTGGTATAGCTCAACCATCACTCCCTGAAGGTAAGAGGATATTAAGGCATGAATTACAAATGATGGCTTTAGGACATACAGAATAGGTGTCACAGGATTTGTTTCAACACGTGCATGGCAAGTAAGTTGTAGAAGTGGTACAGGATTAGTGACGGGGACAAAAAAGGATGACGGTATAAACGAAGGTCTTGAAATAAACGAGCCACACTGTGCGACAAAACACTGACAAATACACATGGATTGATTTCTGTTCATAGGAGTCCATTGCCAGCATCCCTCTCACATCTGAGCCCTAGCAGCATGCCAAAGTTCAATACATATAGACATTGCTGGCGGTTTGAAGATAGCAAAGACAATCATTCTCTGTGCTTCAGTTCAAGCCCCTTGGCAAAATGAAAGTAGCTTTGATCTCATGAAAGATTTTGCTTTGCAGGTGTATGTCAACACTTGACAGGGGATGTGTATCATGTACCGCTGCATCTCTAAACATAAAGACCTGTTCTAATACAGAGCCTGACATATCCTCACATAAAAGTTTCTCTTGAATCTTAGATAATTCAAGTGCATTTGTCACAGGAATGTCAGACATGTTACATTTTGTACACTCAGTGTATCTAGGTGCAGCTAAACATTATCATTAACCAAAAAGATAGCATGCTTAGTGCTGTACATAGCCTGTACTCTTCTAATGTACTCTTCACAAGTCCTCAGCTATCATATACTTAGGTCATAATTACACAGGGTGTAGCCCCTGACCAGGCTTTGAAGTTAGGAAGACACCTGCTGTCATGGTCACAATTTAGACTCCCCCTAGTGGCACTACCCTGTAGGGGTCCTTTGGCTGTTCCTTTGAACACCCATCAAATTTTGTTCTGTGCATCAGTGATGTAAAAAAAATGGCCTGGTAAACTGCCTGACACCAGGAGGGAACTGTCAGTATTACCACAAGTAAATTACGGGGTATTTTTGTCACTGGACCCTGATTGATTTGAACCCCCGTTTAAAAGATTTGGGAGCTCGGCCATGCCTTGGAAAAGGGCCCAGATGTATAAAAACAGCCTTTATACTACCCGGCAGGGCCCCTTTCTCCAACTGTGACCCAAGCAATTACATGTACATGGATTCCATCAGTCAATAGTGACCATGGCTGAATGCTAATTTGCATCCGCCTTAGAGCATTGCCTATGGCCTACATAGTTATTGCATCCCTATTAATTTAGGATATTGAGAATAATCTGTCCGTGACTCCCTTTAGCAATAGTGATAACTCGAGCTCAACAAAAAAAATCAATATCACCAACCAACAGGATGTAATAATTACAAAACATTGTGACCTCATGTTTCACCTTACCAAGGTCAATTTTTTTACCTCAGGAAACACTGTCATGTTCTCTGGAAGGTCTTAAATTCATGGATTAGACAAGGTCAGAGCAACACTGACAAATTGCAAAAATTTCAATTGCAGAGCTTGAGAAATGTCCATAGGGTCAAAATGGGGCCATACTATGACAGTGCCTGCTGCCCCGAGGGAGTCCTAACAGAGGGCAATGGACGCTCCCATGGCCCATTACCACAAAATACATGGGCTGTAAGTTATCAATGTCTATTCCTATGAAGGCAATGTGTAGGGGGTAATCCTATAATGCGTTGGTAATGACATTGACATCCGGTAGACTATCTCCGACCACACACAGGGAGACTCCTGTTTACTATGCTGTCTAAAGCATGAAATTTGTGGCTGTAATTCAGCTTCTAACAGGCCAATCTGTATTTCTTGCATACACCGTGGGGAGGGGCATTACTTGGAAGTCATATAACTGAGAGGGCTGGCATTAGAAAATGGTTTCAGTTCATGTTATGGTAAATATGGCTGCTTTGGTAACTCTTTAACTGACTCGTTAACCATAGAAATGTTAGGCCGAATTACGTCGGTCAGTTAGGGTCAATAAAATTGGTTAAACTGGCGATAACAAACAGCAGGAAAATAGCTCGCCAATGAGTGCTAAAGCTATGGACATTTTGGGCAGCAGCATGGCTGTGTCCTGCACACTTTTTATGGCTTGATCGACGTCACCAGTCAATGAGCCAATGTGATATGGTAAATTTGCATGAAAGTATTCCCTTCCCTCTCAGGTAATTTTAAGATTCTGAAGTTGTTTTAAAATCACGGGCTAGCCCTTAACATGACCTTAAGCTTAGAGACATGAATTGACAAATTCACATGCAAAATACCACCATAATATACGGTAGATATGAACATGGAAATTTTGATTTCAGTTTTTGTCTGTCATTTTCTTATACCTATATGTTACTTTCTGTTGACCCTCCTGATACCGCAACTCAGAACAGCACCAGTTTCAGCACCATAGAAGCTACAATTTATCAAAGTCTTCTCCAAATACACAAGGTTCCGGGTCGGAGTTTAATTCTGACCAGGGTTCCAAATAGTGCGCAGTAAATCGCCGGATCTGCAAGGTTGTCACGCTAGGTTTGGCTCCCCATAGCTCGGCGATCGCTGTAGATTTTCAACTAGGTTTTGAATTGATCAAAAAGCCTTGGGATTGTAGTGTTTTTCCGCGCGGTGAAGTTGGACGGCCAGCGAAGCGTTTTTGGTATTAGTCCGCGAGCAAGGGTGATGCGGTTCGTCTCCTGATGACCCAAATAGCTGCGTTCTATGTGGAATTTCTAGGGGTTCGCGTCACCGGATTTTGCGAAAAACTTATCGCAACAACCTATATTTTTTCTTCTGTTTTTCAGAAACAGAAAGTAGTAAGCTATTTCAGCATATAAGCCGTTAGCCTGGGAAAATTCGTTTTTTCCAAGCAGGTCCGTTGAAAAAACTGCAAAAAAACTACATTTTTCGTATCCAAAATTTACGTTAAACTACAGTTTCTACCCAAATTATAGAGTCGACGGACAATAACCAAAATTGTATCGGAAGCCGGCTGGAAACCTCCGTTGACTGATGTAATGAGATTTCCCAGCGTACTTTTTTTGGCGGAGTTATAGCCCTTCGGTCTGAGGGTGTTCGCCGGATCCACAATCGTGAAAAAAAACTCCGGTCCGAGACCACAAGGCGGATCGGTGTCAACAAATATGTCAGACAATTACACACGGGCTTGCTTCATTGCTAACCTTCACACAATGTCAGGCAGGCCTATTTTGCCATTATGTTCAAGAAGCCTGCAACTACATTGTAGGATCACTTTTTATGCACATCTGGTACCTGAATTTAGTATTTTGCGCAAGAAGCTTTTATAAATTTGTGTCACAAAATCTGTAACTTGTTGATAAGGATGGAGAGTGAGGCAGTGGCAGTTTGTTAAGTCTGCAATCCCTGCCACCTGTAGTGACCTAGCATGATAGATTGGTCGTTAGCGGGGAGGGAGACAGCTAATGGGCCACTGAGTAATACATTTTTGTACATGTACCAGCAGGAAACAAGCTGTGGCTGCCCATCGTCAGAACAGTAATTGTCCATTGAAACAAGATTCAATGGGGATGTTGCTTGTAGCATTTTTGTATGGCACCTAATTAGATTATTTTTAAAACACACGTGGCAACACCTCCAGTCCTGGCCTGAACCCCGCGTCACGTGGAACTACTGATAATTAAAAGTTCTGCCCAGAAAGTTCTACTCCTTTTGTTATTCACCATTTCCATGTGACCTGTTCTGCACATGTTTATGAAAGGAGGCACGGTACACATACACGTGAGAAGCAAGTACGCACTTCCTGCTGAAGATTGACACTGAGTCCCTCAAGCAGTCTTTTTTTACATCTTGAATCGTTGTCATAAAGATGTGACTAACAACCCCTGAACGTGCTTGTGATTAATGCCCACAGCTGGGATTACCAGGCTTATCTTTGAAGAAGAAAATCTACATACCCGGCTAAAATTGGCAAAACAAGATTGTCCCATCGACCAGAGTACATGTACATGTATGTGAAGAACAAACATTCACAAAAAGAAGATAAGTTATCACCCAACAACAGCCTTAGACAGAGATAAATGAATCAGTCAAGTTATACATGAACTTCAGGGCAAAGGCTGTTTTTCACATGCCATTTCAAGTGATCATTGATTTTGAAGCTGAAAGACACTGTCACATCATATAACATGGTCATCAGTTAAAGCAAAATATACTGCATGCAGTGGGCAGATAGCAGGGTATCGATTTTGATTCCTTATAGACTGTACAGAAGTCTGCTGAGGTGTCTCATCTACCTAATCACAAAAGATTAAGTTCCTATAGTCTCATGGATACAAAAGATGCCACATGTTTCTTTGAAAAAAAATTGTTTGAATGCCATTACTACACATTATTAAGTAAAGATATGAAACTTTAATGTTTTTAACTCACCAAGGACTGTTTTGCAGCGATGGCACTGCTATCTCTCAGCATGGTGTACATAAAGTTCTGTAATGTCTGTAAATGATAAATGCACCATTAGAACAGTCAAAATGAATTGAACAAGACTGTATCAAGAACCAAACATCTATGATTCAAACAGTATCTACTGCCTTTCATCAGTAACTGCAGTTGTCTTCTTCTGGTTCGTCTGTGTTCCTTGGCGATGACATGTACATGCCAAAATGCATAATGTTTAACTTTTGAAATCTTTTGACTGAAAGAAATTAATCTACAAGATGGAAGGTTCAACAATGCCAGCTACAATTTGTATGAGGAATTAGTCCCTACATGACCTACATTTTCAGTTTCATGTTGTAGGCTCAACTCTGTATGGACTGTTACAACTTAACAGAAAGCCCAAATCGATTGTTTCATTCATCTTGGGAATTACTGCTGCAGTTTCAGTTGGAGGGGAAAGATTTTATAGTGCTTATGTCAAGAGTGTGACTGCATTTTATAGCAATTATCAGGATTTATGGTAGCTACTTTAGATGCAATGGAGCATGGCACAAGGCGTACCGATCTGAATAAGGACACAGCTGCCAGAAATAAGAGGTAAGCAGCAGAAAATAAGGTGCATTAAAGGATCACTTAGACAGTAAATATCATTTGGTAACAATGGTGGCACATTAACCAGAAATCTGATATGTTTCCTCTGTCAATCTGGTCTGAGTAGATAAAAAAATAATGGGTTTAACATTAATCATGAAAAATCACCACGTCATATGTCATAACGTATGACACACATACATGTAAATGTAAACTTGTGGCCCAAATATCAATTTTCATCCAATGCATCCTTGTAATGAATATCAAGGTGCTGTCGCTCATCAAGATTTGGCATTTTCCCCAGAACCATCCAATTTTGTTGCACAAATGTGTCGTTTAGAGAGCTGACCTTTAACTGTTACAAATGTGCCTAGAATATAAAATGAACCTTCCTAATCAAGATATATCAGACAAAAATTGTCCCTCATTCTATGAAAATAGAGATTGAAATCCCTTTTTTTCATCCATATGAAAATCTTAATAGCATTAATACATCAATGTCAGTGAATAATCTGTACATCAAGTAGCCTTTCACAGGTCTATAATGTTCCCAACTTAAGCCCCTGTCAAACATAGCCAGATACTGCCTCCCAAACAGTGCTGAATTCCCTCCAACCATAGTTGGGAGTAGGTATGTTGACTGTGGTTGGCCAGTGTTTTGTGAGGTTGGCTTACTGTTTGGCTGTGCTAGCAGAATGTTCAAAATGTTTAAAGTAACTGTTTACATTGTTGAACTGTAACTTGTTAGATAACGAAAGGAAGAATCCCCACAACCAACTGTTGACTGAAGCCTGAAACACAATAATTCTCCTAGGCCCAAGACTAAACAGCCATAGATGGTCACAAGGGTATGAACATGGCTGTTCCAAAAACTGCCCGGTCCCCTTCGGGCTTTTGCTTACTTTCAACAGAAGCTGGGTGTACAGCTGTGGGAGTGAAGGGATTACATTGTGCAATCCTTAGATAACTGTGGCACTTTAGCAATGCATTCCCATAGGAAGAAACCAGAAAACATTCTGCCTGATCTACAAGGCTATTGAAGAGCTACATGTACCGGTAGATTGAATTTTGTTCTAGGACATCACAAGATAACAGTAACAACACAATACTGTGTACTGGTGGTGGTGCTTTAATACTGTAACTGCAAGTTAGAATGTTCATAAGAAAAGGGAATTAAACCTTACTGTATTGAGTTTGTTGTCCTTGTGCTTTGCATTGATATTCTTGATATCTGTCACTATGTGCGTGAACAGGGTCTGAAAAAGAACAAGTATAATATGTAAATACAATGTAAAATGGCAACTGTCTCAGAAAGCAAAAATCTTAAAGGAGTTCATCATTTATCCTACATTGTTCCAAAGCTATTTATACTAATGTTACATGTACATTGTTTCTGTTCAATGGTCATGAAATTCAAATGTGTGCAGCTTTGATGCCCATCTGCAGCACTTTTCAGATGCCCTCCTAACAATTATTGATTCTGGAAAATCACAGTTTAAGGACGAAGGAGAAAGAATCTACAAAGTTCTACCAAACAAGGTGCAACATTTCCTGAATATAAAACATTTTGTTTTCACTAACAGAATAAGATTACAAAGGCAGCTTGCATCTACGGCTTCAAAGCTTCCTTCCCAAGATGCAGGCATCTTCTGAACTTGTGAGAACTGTTTCATGTGCCTTTTGAAGTGGATAAATCCAATAACTGGGATGTTTTCTGTAGGAAAACCTTATAGGACAAGGTATCCCTGTGTAAGGGAGGTGATGCTTAAAAGTTATATTCTGAATTTTTGTATCAAAGTCTTCATGCAGCTGTTCCCATACAACTTATGCAGTTCTTCAAGTCTTCTAACCTGAGCTGATATTTCGGAGGTGTCCTGTGCTATTTTATGAAGGAATGCTATTCAATAACCAAAGAAGTCTTTTGTGCAAAGATCTGTTCATCAAGCTATGTCATACTGCGTTACACCAATTAAGTATAAAGCAAGTGTTTCGGCAGCAAAAACTTCCGTTCAATGAAATGCAAATGCGAGCCACACATGGCTGAAGCTTTGATTTCTTCAAGACAAGTAGATCAGGAGCACTCTCAAGACACCGTCCTGCTCCAAAATTGATGCTCTTAGCAAGGAGTACTGAAGGTTAAGGATTAGAGGAAGCATTTTCAAACATGCACCAGATAGGGGGAAGCATTTCTTGAATGAGAAGTAACTGTTTTCTCCTGTAGTAACACAAGGTTACCAGTATATTTGAAGGACTAGTATAATTATTATAAGATTTTGTGGTGTATTGTGAAAAAGACAATTCTTTGACCAAGAAACAAGTACATATGCTTGTGTTAGTCTCTTATTCATTCAACGCATGTAGATAGGTTTGCAGCTAGCATAACAACAATTTTAAATGAAGACAATTCAGCACCAAGGGCAATACTGTCAGATCCATTTGGATATGATTGAACCATCAATTTAAAAAGTTGGTGTTTGGCTTTCTCTGTAAAATAAGATCTAACACAGGCTGCATAAACCACCCTCAGCCTCCCCTCTAGACATTTAGGCATCCTGTTACTCAGGGAAAGCTTAATTTTATGAGCCCTGATGGTTGTTTGATGTAGGAGAGCTCTATAATCAAGTAAAGGACAAAGTATGAAGCTCCTTTACATATCAAGTCATGCCTAGAAGGTGAAAGAAGGTTTTCTTCGATGACTGATATTTGTGCAACAGGATTTGATACTGGACACTTGAAGATAGAAGATAAAACACAGAAGCTTCAAATGACTGTTTTTCATCTGTTGCTTTCATAATTCAATTTTTGTCTTTCATCCCCTGCTGTGTTGGAGTACAATCTTGTAGGATTTCATTATCCACTGAGCAAAATACTATAACCATAGAGTCTAGCTCTTGTTTGTAATATTTGTTGTATATCATGTAGATAACTACACATTGGTTATTTTTCATTCACAACATTACAGCCTCACATGCAACATCATCTAATGTGTACACTTATCATATACCAAACCCTGGGAATACGAGACGCCCAAACAACCACAAATTACAGGTACACAGGCCATCATACTCAATCTTTCCAGGCTACATTGCTTTAGTATATGTGAATTATGTTTGCATTGCACAAACTATACACTGGAGATTTGCTTCTTATAGTGTAAAAGGCTGTGATGGAGGATGTCTATTTGCATTAAAAGTTCCTACAAATCACATAGAAGAAGCAAGGGTCCCCTGGAGAGCTTCTTTGATCGTAAGATGTGGGTAATTCTGGTAATTTATAAGCTTTGCTTGATTGCACTGTAGTATATAGTAGTCCAAATGTCTAAATCTTTCATGTGTGACCTAAAACAGGGGTCATGTCTATTAAACATACACTAAGACATGCATGGAAACAAAAAAAACCAAAAGAATTACATATAACTGAAGGTTTATTGGTGAACAATTTGGTTTACTGTCAAACTTATTCAGGGAGAAGAAAGGAAAGGAAAAGAGGGAGGCAAAAAAACTGATGCAGGAGTATCACTAGGAGACACTGGGGCAATTCGGATGCACAGGTTGTGGGGAATTCGTTTATTACTGGAGAGTAAATATGAGTGGGATTACTACACATAAATTCAATCAAGATGCAGATCTGAAGACACCTCCTGCAAATGCCGTTCAGTAAACATTGGCTCTTTTGAGTGTGAACAAGATATGAAAATATTGCTGCTAGTTAGTATTTCATAGGTCAGGACCTTTAGTAATGGGCTGGTGCCTTACCTTTCGATAGATCTGACATTTCCAACCAAGAGAAATTGAGTCACTAGCACTTGAATCTATACTATTAACCTTCCCAAACCTGGTTAACCTAAAACCTTCAGTGGCTACTGTATCTACTCCCAAGCATGACACACTCCAGTACAGAAAGGCAAAAAGGTCACTCCAAATTTTCATGAATTTTTCAAATCAACGCCAACCCAAGAGAAGAGAAAAGGGTGGGAGACTTTTGGATTAGAATCCACTTAGCTGTACGGGCAAATAAATTGGTACGGTCGCAGTTTGTTTGCCATTTTTCAGCCTCTAACACAACCCCTGTGTCATTTAAGCATGGTTGCCATTATATGCATGGTTGCACATGGCTCTTTATTCTAATGTACATTCTCTATAAAAGATAACAAGTAACAAAGTTCTAAATGCATGGGGGTGTGTGGATTTACATGAATTCAATTCAGCACTAAGGGCAAATCTGTCAGGTTCACCTATTTATTGGTTTGACTGACATACAACCAAGGCGGCCCAGCTCGCCATCCACCATCATTAAGAGCTAGCCTGCCTTACAATTATCCAGAGTAAGTAAGAAACTTCTATTGGAAATCCTTATTTTTACTTAATGTAGTTTTGAATATCATTGACCTATGAAAGAAATGTCAAGGCAATATTTTGCCATCTCTTTGGTGTACTGAGTAGATAAGTTAGAAGCAATTCTGGTTCAAAATTGGCTGGTGTCAAGCAGTAACTATAATGTCCTAAAAATGTCAGTGGATGCATTTTACGGTAAAATGAAGGTAATTTATCACCAAGGGCAAAACTGTCAGATCCATTTTTTCTTGATATACTTTTGAATATCATTGACCTATCAAAAGTTGGAGTTCTGCCTTCTCTGTAAAATCAGACCTAATACACTAACTTCAGAGTGTCCATAAAGTGTCAGAGACTTCATTTTTCAGTGAAGGTGTTTCAGCACCAAGGACAATACTGTCAGATACATTTGTTTTACAAAGTTTGGGATGTCATTCAATCAAAACTTGGAGTCTGCTTTCTATGTAAAAGAAGATCTAACACACTAACTTTAGAGTGTCCTTAAAGTTTCATTTCTTCAATGAAGGCAATTCAGCACCAAGGACAGTACTGTCAAATACAATTTTACATAGTTTTGGATATCATTCCATCAAAACTTGGAGTCTGCTTTCTGTGTGAAATACGATCTAACATAGTAACTACAGAGTGTTCTAAAAGTGTCAGAGACTGCATTCTTAAATGAAGGCAATTCAGCACCAAGGGCAAACCTGTCAGGTACATCTGTTGGAAGTGATGCACTTTGAATATCATTGACCTATGAAATTCTCATTGCTCTGTAATCCCTTTGGTGTGCTGGGTTGACGAGATGGAAACAATTTTGGTTCCAAATTGGCTGACATTAAAGGATATAAACTGTCCTATGGTGTTGACATGGATTGATAAGAAGGCAGACACAAGCTTTTCATTTACAGTGCAGCTCCTGCCTGAGGTGTACGGACCAATCAGGTTGTTTAAAACATCCATCAATCATAACAATGTCAACAGGTTCCCCAAGTAATAGGACTGCACCATCCATCAATCTGTCTACTGACATGTAACCAAATCAGTGTTATCAGTGGTGGGAGCAATGTCCTTTTTCTGTTATTTCTTTCACATCTGTCATTTAGAAGTGCGTCAAAGGAAAACCGTTTAGGGAACAGTCTACTTAGCAGGTATTGAAATTTGCCTTTAGATCGATGCCGATGAAAAGGTTTTGTGTAACACGTCCCATGTGAAGGATTCAAGTCATTTGTGGCTTGGAAGTGTGAAAATGTCACTGATGAATCTTTCCCAACCTGGATAAATGGGCTCCTTAAAGGAAGTTCCAGGAAGAAACATCATTACGCTGAGTGCCAAATGTTATGACATTGCTGCTTCTTGAGGAAGGTTATTACACTGACCAGGCTGACCCAAAAGATTCAAAGGTAGAGTGAACGTTCCCCCATTTGGCAGCCTAAATCACCCATACCTCATGCAAAATCTACCCTTTTCTGTGCTGGGTTCTGACAGGTTGTTTAAACAGGTTTAGGTGGTGAACCGATACCCAGCAAGGAGAAGTTTGAGACTTCTATAACCATAACGGTTGATTGTTAGATGCTTGCTAGCTTTTTAGAGAGTAACTTTCTTTCATGGTCCAGATACATATAGGTCATATAAACAGCCTATAAATCTGCTACACACAACCCAGCAATGTCATGTATGTGCTGGAAGGACAAAAGTACATGCTGATGTCTGGAGTAGAAAAATACTTCATAGTGTTCTGTAAAAGTGTGCATTAGCAGTTCCACAAGATATTGATCTCTAGCTCTGCAAAGCACCATAGCATCAAATCCTTTTCATGGGTACATGTATTAAAGTCCGGGCATGATGTAAGTTATCCGTTTCCTTGTGTTTCCTTGCAGTAGCCAAGATAACAGGGCAAATGTATGTGTACTGCCATTGGCCTCAGACCATGACGTCTGAGACTGAAAAAGGAATGTAGGATCAAAAGCTATGGAATTCTGCCAAAAACGCATGGAAGAAAAGTTGCTCTAACATATGTTACAGCCTGTATGTCAATTCCTACCTGCCTTAGGACCAAATAAGCTTGAGAGCACAGTCTATAATATAGTTTAACTTTCCCTGTATGATATTGAAAGTTAAAACTTGTACATGTAAGTAATGGATTCTGGATTGACATGCAGGAAATAAAAAATCCAACAACCAAACCATATATATATAGAAATCAAGATTTGAACACTGAAATACACTTTTTAGGTACATGGGGTATGTTAACATCTCTCATTTGTTTGTTAATTAGGCATCATTCTGCCTCTTCATTACATTCTTTCAACACAATTACCTAAATATAACATTACATAAAACTACATGTATTTTACAGCTAAGGAAATTGTTGTCACCTCAGATCATTCTTCAAATTAAATTTTTTTTTGAGATACCTACCTTCCGAAGGAGTTTGTCTTGGCAGCGGAACAACTCGAAGAACAGCTCCAGAAGGCTACAGGGAAATTTGAGAAACAGCAAAGACATAAAACATTAGGATTGAATCTGTGTCTTCTCATCCATACAAATAGGATATGCATTGGGTGCAGTGTCAGCAAGACATAAGTTAAAGAAAACAACATGCATACGGGTCACAGGATCAATGCAGCCACGTGTTATAGTGAAAAATCAATTCTGTCCAATCATTCAAAAAGTAATTATACAACGTCACATTCTTGGTATATATGCTACTGGTAGCCAGCCTGTTTTCAAAGTAAAAAGAAGATCACTTTGCACACCGGTATATCAAAATTCTCATGTGGTTTTAATATGTTCCTGATGCCAATGGATGATTGATTGCTTGATTTAATATGGCAGTCTGAGCTGTTATTCTGTTCATTTCCTTGTTGAGTACATGTATATGATTTACCTTTTGCTGAAAATGTCTAAAAAAAACAGCTTTGGCATGTATAATCACTGTCATGACAACATGACCCATATGTAAAGAAGGCTAACATTTTTAACAAGAAAACACAGGAATGAAATGCAAATAGGTTACAAACTAGGATACTGGCAGTCTGATACAAATGGAAGAAATAAGATGAGCAATCAACAGCATTTCAGGGGAGAAGCCTTGTATTTTTACCTACCATTCTTTTAAAGTGTGCACTTTCATATACATGTATCACACGTATTAGACATCACAACAATTACTTTCCTTTCAAATTTACAGAAGCTGCAGTCTTTTTTTATTCTTCTGCGAATAAAATATGTTATATTAAGTACAATCTTCATCAATGATAAATCATGTATACCACTCCTGTGTTGAAAGATAAGTTTGATAAATTGTTTCATCATTTAAGTCCTAATGTCTTGGGTCAATCGATAATGGGCCAGCAAAGATCATCTGCATTTCTTTCCAATAATGGGACAACTAACCTAACCACTATACTCAGACAAAAACACTGTGTTATACATAAGTTATAGAGATTGCCTGCAATCTTTCTCTTGTAACCAAACAATACAAGCGGTGGAGACAGGCTTTATCCTTCTTTCTCTATGGGGACGAAATATTATTAATGGTCAAATTCTTGGAATAATAGGAAACAGGACATTAGGATGTGACAGCAAATGCAACACTAATCCTCAGACAATGGAGACGGAGAGAGTGAACAGAAATCGAAAAGCCCATGGTTGCAGATGGGACATAAAGTGCTTCCCACATCTTATGGCTAGTGCTGCAGATATTAGGACATAAAACTCAGGGGAAAAGAGTGATGCATCGGACTGAATTGCTATGAATTGTTCATGATGTTTTGGTACCTGAGAGACGGAGAGTCTGCTAGATATCACTAAACAGGACATCCGAATTCCAGTGTCATTTTTTTCATCGTACATGTATGCAGAAGCAATTTTTTTTCTTCCGTAAACTGTCATAACAAGAGATAAAATATATTTGATACAGACTAAGAAATCAGATACTGCTTTTTGACGTTGAAACTTCACCTTATCGTAAAATCCGTTACTAATAACAAGTGAGGAGAGGAGATACCGGAAAATCAATATTATGTAAATGACTCCTGGCTGACAGTGGATGGTATGAAACACTTGTTGCAGATAGCACAACTCTGGGACTACCACAGCTTTCATCAGGCAATCATGAAGGCTGTCACCTGCCACAAAAGTTCAGATCTCTTTTGGCCCAAGTACTGCAGAAGCCTGTGAGGTTTGTGACATGTTTCTGCACTATGATAATCAAATTAATATGGTTGCTATTTTGCAAATCTGACCTGTTCCCTAATCTTCTTGACCTAATAACAATATAACAAATCAATAGGGAGAAATCTTGTTGTTTTGTCAGTAAGTGGTACCAACTTTTGCCTATCTTATTAGAATTATGGATTTTATGACAATGAGGTCAATGAAGCATGTTTATATTTGTAGTCATTGCTTCCATCTCTCATAGCCATGAGTCATACTTACTGCTTTTCCATGGTCTCAAAATTGCATATAAGTTAGATACAAAGACATCACTATAAAGTCATAGATGCTCTACTGTCTGCTGTCACTAAAATGACCTCAAGACAAGTGTTTTCATGAGCTGTATTTAGTTTTTTCATCAGTAAAAAAACTTAATTTCCAATATGTATTCATCTACCTCAAAATCTGAAGGGACAACACTTTTGGATCAACTAGCCGCTAGACTATCTACATGTAGTTCTAAATGTCACATTTAGTGAAAGTGTATCAGTCAGTCAATCAATTTTCCATTTCTAACGTCAACTTGGCACAGCATGAATACAGGAAAAGGTAAAACGTCACTTCATTCAAAATATTTTTGTTAAAACTCAAGCATTACAGAATGTCTCAAAAAACCGCAAATCAAATCTCAAGGCAATAGTGGTGAATACAATTGGTCTGGTTTCCTTTGTTCATATGAAAAGGGGGATCACTTCATTCAAGCAAAAGAACAGACAATCATGATATCATGTTTCTTGAAATTCAAGTAAAATGTGAGAGACAAGATACAGTATGTATGGTAGTCGTCTAAGAACGCAAAACATGTCTGTCATCATGACAGAAATGTATGTGTCTGACTCTCATCAAAATTTGCAGAAGCAGACAATTTGTCACCATGCTATACGTAGGGCCATGATGGATTTTGTCTATATCCAAAATAAACCTTGAAACAGGATGAAAGAAGGAGCTGTAACTGTTGTGTCATCATATGGGACCAAAATATCCGAAGGACAAAGCTTAATTGCAGGCAGCTAACAGTAAACACATGGCCCTGTTATGAAAGCATTCTGGTGCCACTATGGGGAAGATTGGAGCCACTCAGATCAATAATGTCTGATAAAGTCAGACAACAGATTACAAGGTGGATCTACAGGGACTGCTTTACCAATTTCTTGATAATGTTTAGTGCCAAGTTAGATGTAAGTGATCAAGAAAATCTGTACTAAGTTGATATCCATTGGATATCCCAGGAATTTTTACACATTTGAGTAATACTGGTTACTGTAGTCACTGTGGTAGCTTTGTCAGAATGACACTTTAGACCTTGCATAAGTGAGTGAGAGACAGAAAGATCTGGAGAGAGAGGGGGGAGAAATAAAGAGAGAGGACAGAAGCAGACATATACAGCCCCCATCCCCTTTTATACTTCAGAGCATTTTTTGCACTTGGCTTAAACCTAAAACAATTTTAACATATCAGACAAACAGCTTATTCAACAAAATGTCGATCTAGATATGGCCTCACTCCTCCAAAGCTCTAAAAGTCGAGCCTGGCGGCATTCCTATGTTTGAAACATTGAATAAACTTATAAGAAATCCTGTCTCTTAGCCAGGAAGTAGTCAAAAACTTTACCTTGTTGGAGAGATCAGACTCTTGTTGCGCAGCAAGATCAAGGCTCGGCAGAACGTCTGCAGGGAAGACAGAAACAATAATGTTAAAGTTTACAACCATTGAAGTTGTTTTATTTCTCTGCAAGTCACAGCCTTATCTACCTTTTTGTGACCTGTAAATTAGCATGCAGGGTTGTAAAGTAGATTACACTACTTAAAGAGTGTTCAGATCCTGCAATAACATGTTGGATGCTTTGGAGCTCTGATTGCACTAGACGATAAGTGTGTTTTATTACTGGGAAGTGCTCGTAGCATCAAATGGACAAGAGGCTAGGATAGCGGACAAGGGTTTGGTTCAATGCATTCCTGTGAATTTATAGGTTAGGTTAAGAGTTGATGTAGCTCTGAGGTGTACACCCTTCAGATGTACAGGGGTTTAAAACATTCTTGAGTAGACTGACAATTTGAGAGCTGATATCAACCCATAGCTTGCAAAATGGCATATACAATGTTTCTCTTACAAGGATGTACAGTGTTCTTTCTGGTGTAAATAATTGCCAGGTGTATTTTTGGTTTTCCTTTATCAGAAATACCAGTAAAGATCATGCCTTTTCTCAGAAAGTTGGAAAACCTGGTTCAAAGCTAGAATTTATTCTCTAGCTTAGACGGATCCATCCCTACTGACGTCCCCACATCCTGTTATGAATATTCTTCCTTTGCTGTAATCATCATGATCCAGCAAAAATGTCTAGCATTGAAATCCAAAGCCCTTCGAGCCGTCCACGGTTTGATGTTTGAGAAAGTGGGTCAAAGCATTTATCCCAGATTTCCCTGCAGTGAAACTTGTGAACTTTTGCAAGTCCTGAGATAAGCCTGGTACTCCCAGTATGAAGGAATGGGACAGGAAAGGAGTTTTGGAAGGAGGAAAGTATACTTCAACAGCTCATATCTAAATTTCAAGGAGATATGTCTTACACCATACTGTATAGACACTTGTATCTTGTCTTGCCACTGGCTTGATATTCAGCCACAAAATTGAAACTGATTATTAATTGATTCCATTTGAAAAACACTTTCTGAATGTGTAAGAATCACTGCAAAGTTTGAAAAGTAACACTTGTCATGTTACCTACACAACATGGCGTTCACCAGACACCAGACATCAGGAACCCGAAAATTACAGTACCTCCAACTGTGTCTATGATTGAGCTTCTACACGTCCACACTAATACGCAATGACAAAAAAATCAATAACACCCGGCTTACTGACATTCAAAATTGATCCACCAAAATGATTGATTCTTGTTTACCAGTACCGTTATCTGTTTCAAAAATATGAGTGGAGACCACTTTGGCATTTCCTTTCTTATTGGCATTTCATGGTATCCGTTTTACATGAACAAGATTGAAAAAACATGATGCAGACATGCAACTTTAAAGAGTCTTGCAGGTAGGTCTGTTCAACCCGGTGTTACACAATATCTTGACGTCTGCTGACAGGGGCCCCTTCTAGGGAGTCAGTCAGTCTGGTGGCCTGGTAGGAGTGGGATTTAGTCAGATCTAGACTGCACCATGTTGGATTTTCTATGTTTGATTTTCTACTTTGTTGGTGTGTGACTTGGCATGCAGGCGAGGGAGCAGTGCTATCATCTTGTCCTAGCAGTTTGGAACTGATGAGTTTTGAAAACCCATCCTTATCTACCTATTCAAGATGTGGCTCTCCATCAGCTGAGTGAAAATTCTCTGCTAAGTGCAAAGCTGGGATTAGAACCTCCAAATGTCTCATCCAGAAAAGGGCTGGCTAGACTCTAGGGTATCACAAGCAATGGGAAATGTTAGACCAGGAGGATGAGTATGTTGAAAAGCCGCCATCACAAAACAGCCTACTAGTATATTCTAACCTATGCCAAGTATGGTTGATCTTCTCTTCCATTATCATCAATCTTTGCTGAATTTCCCAACTATTAGGAAGAAAACACATGGCAATGTGCCAGCACAGCCTTCATAATACGTTTATAAAGTACAAGTACTGTAGGACACAGTAATATGTTAAATACATAGATCAACTTCTTGTATGAACAGGAGTACATTTATGTCCAGTTAACTGACAGATTTTAGAAACAGGAACAATAAGCTAGGAAAAAAATAGTCTATTAATATGAAAATAACATTAAGGCAACATTTCACAACATTAACCAAAAACCCTTCTGATCAATAACATTATGATATTCAGCACCAAGGAAAGAACCTATTCTCAGCATAACATTACAGCTAGCACATCAAATCATCAGGGATTTATCAACTCAGCCTTCTACAGATGAGACTTTCCTTAAAACTCAGTTTTCTGAAGAAAAAAAGTGTTGCTGATAAAATCACATACTTCAGTCTATCCTGCAGCAGTACTGTTCCAATAGTATTCCCAATTTGATACAGTAGTATCATCATCATCATCATCATCATCATCATCATCACTCACATCTGGTGACAATGCAGGCCACCACTGCTTCCCACTCCCTTCTGTCCAGCACTTATCCACTCCTTTCCAGTCCAGGTGAAACCCAACTCGTCAATGTCTCTCATATTAACTGTTTTCCCCATTTGATACAGCATCAGTTTATAAGTTGACCGGACAGGTAGGCCTGATTATGAACTTAACTTGTCTCAACTGAACAACCCAATTTCCCCTTCCATGTAAGCTACCCACAGAAAGCAGGGCAGTGGTTGATTACCTCATTACTCTCTGAGATTATGAGTGTGATCCAGCCACAATCCCCTAATTAGAGATTTAATTGATCCATGGCAGTGGTATAGATTAAGTAAGCCTCACATAATGATCCAATCCCTTCACCATTATAGGAAAGGCTGTGTCTGAGTATTGAATCCCTCCAATCAAACCTGCTCTGTCCTTATGACAGCTTTGCCAACCATGGTGCAGTCAAGTGTAGGCTCCCTAAATCCAACCTTCCTACAATTAGTCTGGCAGAAACATCAGTCTACAAATGAGACATTTGCTACCCTCCAGTTCCCCAAACTGCCTTTTCTGACTTAAGCTCACATTGTTCATGGCTAACTTAAATGAACATATCCAACTTTCAGCGACTGAACATGATAAAGCACACTGCCTGCATTTTTGTGGAGGTACATGAGTGCTGTATCATAGTGAGAATTATTTGGATCATTCAGCTTTCAGCTGCAGTATTTTAGCATGGAACTAACTTAGGAAACAGGGAATACACTTACCATGTGTGTTTCATGGGCTTAAATATTGAGAAACAGTTCAAAAGTTTTTGAAATTACTTTTTTCAAGAAGCAGATTTTACAGCTCAATTTGAAACTGCAGCAAAACTGCCATCATGATAGATGGCACACAGAGAGTGCTATGGTGTACCAATCCTATTGTAACACTCCAGAAAACAGCAGTAAAACTAAAAGAGTGTTTCTGTATATTACTGCTATCTCCACTATGATGCAATTTTTGATTAAAGGGCCAGAAAAATGGTTTGCAACAAACTGCCACATAAAAGGAGTTTTGTCACAGTATTTCATTTTTATATGCCATTCTGTTTCAGGCTGGCATACTACGTGGGCCATTTTTCAAAACAATTTCGGGCAGGATACTGAATGACTGCTCCATAACTGTGCGCTAGTACAATTGTAAAAGCAATGTTGAAATTGCAGGCTTCTTTTCCTACCAATTCAGCAATTTCTGCATACCAAGAACCATAGGGTATTTTGATTGAGTGCTCACAATAAGCCTGACTGAGGAGATTGCAGTTATACCATCACACTAAACCCAACTTTCCAGAGGAGTCTTTCAAAATCAATTTGGTCCCAGTCATGGTTGTTTTGTATCAATTAGCTACAACTGCAACTACGCTTTCACCCACACTGAAACTAAAAGTACATTGTACTTCACCAGCCCCATGTACATGGTGTCTTTTTTACATTACCAGCTGTAATTTCCCTGTGGAGACAGCCCTGGGCTGGCAATTGTATTTCTTTATATTACAAGAATATGTTCTTTGCCACTCTGACTTTCACTACGAGTAAGGAGTCATTTATAGCAGCAATCTACATTGTATTGACGGCTTCCTGACAAGAGGGAGGTTTTGTGCAGGTGACATCAATTGGTGTTGATGACATGTGCTCATGACAGGTGTTTCCATCTTTTATATCCTTTCATATTTGTCCATTGCTGTGCAACCATATGTTACAACTTCGTTATTTACACACTGAAGACAGCCAAGTGGGCAACCTGGCTTACATAAGCATTTTGAGCCCTACCTCGGGTCTAACATGTCTGACACTGAAAAGTAAACATTACAACATCTTGTGGCATCTGCCATCATCATGACAAAGTTTTGTGTTTCACAGATGACAGACTGCCATGTTATACTCTTTTCCTCTGAAAAACAATCCATGTGACACATTACTTTTCAAATCATAATGCTTTATCCTTATTAAGTAGATGAAATCTAAAGTAATACACAAAGAAAATATATCAAGTAAGCTTAGAAACAGTTTCATTAAGCTTATTTTCCAGAGAAAATCTTACTACAGACAATAGAGTTCCATTACTCCACTAAGATCCAACATTTTGCTCTGTCATATCTGTGTTTTCAGATCCTGTATGAAAGCACAGGATGCCAAGTAAAAATACAAAATTATATCCCGATGAAAACAACTGCTCAAACTTCTGAGATGATTTGAAAAAAGAGCTGTCTCTTTTCATTGGGATACCAACAGAATGTATTAGAAGAAAGTCTTTTATCTTGGAGCAATTAAGGAATATACTGTGAGACACAAATATTTCAGAGTCCATGGTGGAAATGAAAGAGCCCTGAAATAATACATGTTCAGGGATGCTCAATTGATTGTAAATAACTCCAAGCTGCTGTTCAAAACCTTTAAGAGAATGTACGGCAGGCCAAGTTAATAAGGCCACTAATCAACTTCCTGAACACCCTGGAGTTACCAACCAATATGATTACATAAAGGTCAGAGTGTTGCTCTTTAAAGTCAGATCATGCATTCTGTTTCTTTCAAACTAGAGTATACATCAGAGTCTAATAGACATA